CCCCTGTTTCAGACAGTTACATGCTAACCATTGGAATTAGGGGGTAATGGAATAATAATCAGGCGGTTAATTAGCGGAGGTCACTAACGTTAACGGGGAATAAATAGGCCGACGGTCGGTTAAGTGTAATGTGGGCCGTCGGTCTAATCCAAGACCAAGGAGACATTTTTCATCTTTCCTTTTCAATATTCTTACCAAGATATATAAAATCCTAAGAGCCTGTTAAATAATTTTGCTGTCATCAATTTTTTTTTATAATAAAAAGTCTAAATTTTGATATTATAAAAAAATTGAATTAATGAATTTTACTCGAATTTAACTTAAAATTAATTGAGGGTTTAAATCTTGGGTCTAACAATCAAAAAGACAAAAAAATCTTAAATACGTAAGGTAGATTTGAAAAGTATGCTTTTAAAATCACTTAAAAAAACAATTAATCTTAAAATTTATGAAAGATAGGTCGAATACAACACCTTAATAAAATGGAGAAAAATAGAAAGGGGAGAGGAGGATTTTTTTATTAATTAAATTATATAATAACATATTATATTATAAACTTATGAGAAAAATATATATCAATCTCGATTCTTAAAAAAATAAGAATTTTAATACTAAATTTTATTTAATTAAAACTTAATTTAAAATTTAAAATTTTATTTTATTAAATATTAATATTTAAATTTTATAATTAAATGAATTTTTAAATCTTGAATTGAAATTTTAATTTTTAAATATAAATTTTAATTTTAATTTTTTTTTAGGCCAGAACTAATATACACTAATTTCTAAACTTATAATATTACATAATTTTTTTTTTTTGGTTTCCCGCCAGGTATCCGAGACTTCGCCCCGATTAATCCGGACCCGACCCACGTCGTGCACCTGGAAATGGTGGGTGAGTCTCCCAGCGAGGGCTGCTACATACACAAGGACTCGAACTCGAGATCTTGCTTAAACTGGAACAAGTCACTTACCACTTGATCCAACCCCTCGTTGGTTATAATATTACATAATATTATAATTATAATATTTTTATAATATTTTAAGGGTATACTTCTAAGTTTTTAGTAGGTTGAGTCAGTCGCTTGTAGGCACACACTACACTAGTTACATATTGCATCTTATAAACAAGCTCCAGTTGGTACTACTACTAAGACATTATTGGGCTTCTGTTGGGCGCTAAGTCCAAAGGTCAACTATCCAAGGCCTCAGGCCTACCTACACTGTTTTGAAGTTTTTTTAAGGGGTTTGGGATGACGACTGGGCTGGGAACACGAGCCCAGTGTTAGCTATGGGCCTAGCTCCCTATAACAAGAAAGAAAAAAAGAAAAAACACAAACACACTCATTTTTCTTTCCTACTTAAAATAAAATAAAAGGCTTAATAAATATAAAAAAGTGAAAATTAGGACTATTTAATTAATTTTAAAATTAAAAAATATAAATTTTATATTCTTAAATAAAAATTAAAAATTTAATATCCTATTTACAAATTGATAAAATTCATATCATTAAATAAAAAATAAAATTTATATTATTATTTATACATTTTCTTGTAAAAGATCTGGAAACAAACTCCATAATGACTTGTCCATTGTGGTCATGACCACATAAGAATTTGTACCACGTAAATTTATAAGTCTTTTTAATTGAAAACTGTTCTACAAGAAAGGATTGTATGTAATTTATTTTGTAAAATTATTTAAATGTTTTTGAAAAAATGATATAAAAACAAAATTAAGGACATTTAAGTAATTTTATAGGATAGACTGTATATAGTTCGCCTTGTAAAACAATTTTCTCTTTTTTTAAATAGTTACTTATAATATTTAAAAAGATCAATATATAATTTAATTTTAATCTATTTAGTACTAATTGTGAATACTTTTATAAGTAATTAATTATTTTAATAATTAAATTAAATTAAATTAATGTTTTAAAAATAATATTAATAAATTCTTATAATTTTAACAAATTTTTATGTGATTAAATCCATAACCAGCCTTCTTTAGCTCTCCGTGATTTTACGTTGAGGTTATTTACATTTATAATTTAATTAAGAGCTTGTCTAACTTGATGTATTAAATATATCTTTTTATTATAATTTTGTATAAAAAAAAGTCAACTTTTAATTTATTAATTATTTAATTATATTCATCTAACACTAAAATTAATATCAATTTTTATATCTTTCTATATATATTTATTATAAAAAATACTCTTAACTTATGCGCTAATTACACAACTTAGAAAAATCCTTTTATTAAAATGGTTAAATGTCAAATTTGATCTCTCAACTTTAAGGTTTTACATAATTTTTATCCTTAACTTTTTTAGTCATTTTATTTGTTAATCCATTAAATTTGTTTAAATACGCACATTTTTAGTCTTTTAATTTTTAATATATGCATATTTTTTATCCATCGACTTTAAATTAAAAGACTAAAAATATGCATATTTAGATAAACTTAACGAACTAATTGATGAAAAAAATTAAAAAAACATGTTTTTCCATAGTTGAGAGATCAAAAAAATACACAAAAAAGTTAAGGGACAAAAATTCTACAAAACTTTAAAGTTGAGAGACCAAATTTAACATTTAACCTATTAAAATCACATATTTTAATAGTAATTTTATTAATATATAATTTTTTAAATAATTAATTAAATATTAAACATATTTATTTATAAATTAATTTTACTTTATTAAATAATAAATAATAAATATTTCATTAATTAAATATTGTTCTTAACAACCAAATTAAATTAAAATAAAATTTCGAGCATTAAATGCCCTTCATAAATTTAAGGTAGGGATAGACATATATCATGATTCCGTCATTGACTTGTGCTATGACATTTTAAATTCATGTGTCAGTGGTAGGTCGGGGAAAAGCAACTGAAATCCTGCACGTGTCTCAATTCAAAACCTAAAAAAAAAACGATCATAAATCACGGATTAAAAGCATTTTAATCATGTTGTCCATCTACTCTGCAGGGCATACGTTCAATGCATGCTCATTTCAAATCAAACGTACGGTTCTTTGAATTTCTTTTCAATTAAAAAAGCATACATTCTTCTTTTTCTTGATTGTTGATTGCTTGATTGGATTCAATGAAAACTGAAAAGCAGGATTGTGCATTTA